CTGATCTTTCTCCTCTCTGTAGTTCTGCCTTCTTCAAAATGTCACATTGTGACATTTTGGGAACTCACAGTAAGCAGCCTTTTCAGTTTGCCTTCTTTCACTTCATTATATGCAGCTAAGGGTCACATGTCTTCTCATGGTTTGAGAATTCTACCTCCTTGGAAGTTATCTTTTAATATATATATATATATATATATATATATATATATATATATATATATATATATATTTTACTACTGGGGGTAGAACTCAGGATATTGCTGAGCTATCTCCCTGGCCTTGTTTCTATATATTTTACTTATATTTATTGTTTGTCTTCTACAAAGAAATGTGTGTTTTATGCCAGGTATAGGTAGGTGTACATCTGTAGTTCCAGCTACTTGGGAAGCTGAGGCAGAATGACCACAAGTTTTAGGCTAACTGGGTAACTTAGCAAGACCCTGTCTCAAAATAAAATACAAGGTGCTGAGGATATAGCTTAGTGGCACAGTGCCCTGGTACAAAAAACCCCCTAGAACAGTAGAAAGGAGCTGGGGGTGCTGCTTTACAGTAGAACCTTCACTCACCATAAGTGAGGCCTTGTGTTCAATCTTCAGCATGACAAAAGTAAGTGTTTCATGACAAGGACCACCCCCAACCATGCTGCCCAAGTTGGCCAATATCAGGCCTCCAATGATTCTTCTGCCTCAGCCTGGCAAGTGGCTGGGATGCCAGCTGTACTCACTGCACTTGATTAGGACAGATTCTTGTTTACTCTGTCCACTGCTATAGCCTTAGTTGTGGAAACTGCAGCTCAGAGGTGTGTTTAAGAACTATCAGTTGGGGGCCAGGGAGATACCTCAATAGAATAAGCGCTTGCTTGGCAAGGGTCCTGAGTTCAATCCCCGGTACTGTAAAAAAAAAAAAAAAAAAGAACTATCAATTGAATTGTTGTTGGTTTTTTTTTGGTACTAGGGATTACTAGTCTGCCTTCCCATTGCTAATACCTGACCCACAGTTTAATGGAGGTTTAATTTGGCTCAGATGTCAAGACCAGAGGCTGGCAAAGATGCTTAGCTCTTGGCTGCCTGGGAAACAGGAGGGGAACCAACAGGGAACCAGTCAAGGATCTCATATAACACCCCAGGTCACAACTCCAAGACCCATAGACACACCCAGAAGTGTGTTTTACTAAGGGCACTTCTTTCTTTCGTTTTTTTTCTTTCTTTTTTTTAATCAAAAAGCTTGTATTTAAATTTTTTTAAAAGGCACATTAAATCAATTCTTGTAAGAGTAGGCGGGGGCTGGAGAGATGGCTCAGTGGTCTAAAGCACCTACTTAGAACAAGCTTAGCAAAGCATTAGGGACCGCGGTTCGATCCCCCAGCACCACATGCCAGCCCCGCCCCCTGGTGGGCTGAGCTGGCCACACACACCACACACTCTCTCTGTCTCTCTCTCTCTCTCAAATAAATAAAAATTAAAAAAAAAAAAAAAAAAAAAAGAGTAGGCAGGGATCAGGAGTGGGAACAAAAGATTATCCCACTTTACCCAACATACACTAGTGTCATTTTTCAAACTTACACAGATTCCATTTCTAGTCCCCCTTTTTCTCTTCTGAAAGGACTCCAAATCTACCATGTTAAACAAAAAGTTCTTGAGGTTAGGGCTAGGGTTCTGTGCTAGCAAGAGCGGAAGGATGTCCTGGAGTCTTTTTCGGGTCACTCTACTGCCCACCAACTCCTCCCTTACAACATGAGCTGGTTTCATTTGGAGTCACAAATTTCTGTTCATCCTGAGCTCTCTGGCTCTAGGAAGGGCCCTTCATACCCAACAGTCATCAGAGCTGCGGGGGCGGGGTCCCTGCCACTAACCTGTTTCATTCTTGCGTTTTTTTCGGCTGCTATGACCACTCCCTGAGGAAGTGGAAGAAGCAGCCTTCTGAGGCTTCACTCCCTGCACAGATCCATGCAGATCCTCAGGGTCCTCCTGGCTGGGCTCATTTTCCTGATTGCGGAAGTCTGGAAAACTGTCACTTTATGTCCCACTTCCTGGCTCCCTTTTTTCAATGAACTGGTCCTGAACTCCTGCCTACGGACTTGCACTCACGGCAGCTGCTGACGTGACTGAAGATTTACTGAAGAGCCGCTCCAGTTCCTTCGAGCATTTTTGCTGTTGGAGTTTTTTTGGTTGGTCAGATAGTGATCCCAGCCACAAATAATACTGCCATACATCTGAGTGTCTTCCAAGTAGCTTCCCTCAAAAGCATAGATCTGTCTCTCCAAGTTTGCTTCTGCTTCCGCTTCCCGAGCTCTGCCAAAGCCTGCCTGGTGCCTGGGATCTGCAGGGCCACCTTGTTGTGCATTGCCATGTTGGGCTGGAGCAGCGGTGACAGTGCGAGGCTACTAAGGGCATTTTTTTTTTTTTTTAAATTTTTATTTATGTGTGTGTGTGTGTGTGTGTGTGTGTGTGTGTGTGGCCAGCTCAGCCCACCAGGGGGCAGGGCTGGCTGGCATGTGGTGCTGGGGGATTGAACCGCGGTCCCTTTTTGCTTTGCTAAGCTTATTCTAAGAAGGTGCTTTAGACCACTGAGCCATCTCACCAGCCCAAGCATTTCTTAAAACAATCAGTTTGATGTAACTAAGGCTAACCATCAAGGGAATGGACTAAGGGGTTGTGATGCTAGACAAGCACTCTATCACTGAACTACATCCCCATTCATTCATTCATACATGAATGACAGGATCTTGCAAGGCTGGTCTCCAACCCATGATCCTCTTTCCTTTGCATTCCAGTGCCAAGTTTACACGGGTGTGCTTCTGCCTTAAAATACCTGTCACCCTTAAGGGAGGAAAGGTTTATTTTAGTTTACAGTTTGTAGAGGTTTCAGTCCACAGTCAACTGGTTTCTAGAGTTTGGTACATGGCAGAGGAGAAAGAGTCTGTGGCAGGGCAGAAAGAAAGCAGCAAATCTTCCTTCCATCTTTCTTTTTATATTCTATCCAGGTTACAAGCCTGCTGGTTGGTGCCACCCACACCCACAACTATGCTAAGTCAACCTGTGGACTGATTTAGTTATCACACACCCTTGCTCCATATTCACACACTCCTGATCCAGGCCTACCTATGAGCAAATGAGGCTTTCTGGGGAACCTCTAGATAGGCTACCATGCCCACCTTCGTGTGTGTGTGTGTGTGTATGATACTGAGGGTTGAGCCCAGGGCCTTAGCACTGAGCTACATCCCCTCCTATGTTATTTTTTAAATTTTAAGACAGTATTTCACTAAGTTGCCCAGGCTGACTTGAAACTCTGGGTTTTCTTTCCTCAGCCTCCTGATTAGCTATAATTACATGTGTATATCACCACAAGGGCTAAAATATTAAGTGAATAGTATATTTATTTGAAGAATAAATTTTTATCTATAACCTGCTTGGTAAAAGACTATAAAATAGTGCTTAGCTTTCTGGACCCTTAGAATTTATGGTACTGGGGAGTGAATACAGGGGCAGTCTAGCTATGTTCCCAGTGCTTTTTAAATTTTGAGACAGGCTTTCCTTACAGACTGTCTCTTAACATGTGACTCTTTGCCTTAGCCTCGGGGGTAGCTATGTCGCAGGCTCACCCTCAGTTGTTGAGAAATAGAACCTTGTGAGTTGGAACAATGGCAGGCAGCCCAAGAAAGGGCAGGGAAGATGGGCTGCACTATCCCATTTGCTACCACTGTATTTTTGTCTTTTTGAGACAAGGTCTCACTATGCCTTTCAGGCTGGACTTGAACTCACTTTGTAGCCCAGGCTGTCTTTGAACTCGAATGATAGCACTTTATAATGTACATGTACAGTCTAAACTCTCCTCACAGAAACAATCTTGCTAGGTCGGTGTGATAAATTCCTTTATCCATGAGAAAATTGGGAGGTCGCACGACTTGCTGCTCTACAGTGCAATTCCAAGACTTCTATCCAGAAGCAGATTAACACGTTGACTGTGTCTTTGTACCCAAGGAGATGCGGGACGCGCCCGTGTCCTGGTCCAGGGTCCTCGGACCCCCTGGCAGGTAACACATGCCTTTTACAATCCTTAGCTCTGGAAGCAGCATGCACCTACAGATGAAGCCTGAGAGCAGAGGGCTGCAAAGCAACTCGTTACCACGCAGCTCCTCCCCTCTCCCCGCCTCCAGGGGGCGGTGCAACAAAGCGCGGGAAAGATCAACCCGGCTCCCGCCGCCGCCCGCGGAGGGGAATGCCTGGGGCTCCTCCCTCCCGCGCCCCGAGACCTATCCGGAACGGCCTTCGGGTCCCTGCGGAGCGGCCCAGCCACGCCAGCACTCCCAGCGTCACCTCTCCCCACTTCCGGTCCGCAAGCCCGGCCCAGTCCCTAGGTCCCGGTTCCTTCCACGTTCCAAAGCCCATACCCTTTCGAGCCTCCCTCAGAGGGAGGAGTTGCAGGTGACGCCACCGACCGGGGCTGGCAGCGCGCGGGCTCCATGAATCCGGTTACACAACGGTGGAGGCAGTGGGCAGCCGATGACGTCATGCTTGGAGCGGTGGCCCATTGAGACTTACGCAGGGCGTCGTTGACGTTGGAATTTGGTCCCTAGAAAACGGGGCAAACAGACCTAAAGATCTAGGGCCTCCTTGGAGTAGACAAGGTTCTCCAAGTGCCCACCGTACAGAAGCTTGGAGTTCTTTAAATTTGCATAAGTGAACTGCAGCTTGCAGCCTCGGGCAGCCAATAGGGGGTGAGGGGGCGGAGTCGCACCTGAGAATGTTACCCGTGCGCGGAAAAGGTGGAATAAGAGTGGCTTCTTTCCAAGAGCGACAGTAGCGGCGACCAATCGCTCTTGAGAGGCGCATATGGGGCATGTGGACCTCCGAGCAGCCAATGGGGAGAGGCTTCTTCAGGGGCCCTCGGCTCCTAGCCCAATGAGGTTGAGTAGACTGTACGGGGCTAGTTCCGAGCGGCAGTACTTAAGGCCAACCTTTCGCGGGGCAGGGCGGAGCAAAGGCCTGAACGACGGGGGACCTGGCCAATGGCGAGTGTGAAAGCGGGCGGCCCAGGCTAGGGGTGCGGAGGGAGCTCAGGGAGGAGGGCGGCCTAACCGGAGAGAAGCAGGAAGTAGCGGCGGCCCCGGGGAGGGCGGCGGCGGCGGCTGCTGGAGCAGGATAGAGACCGCTGCCTCTCGGCTCGCGCTAGGAACGGAATAAGTAAGCGTGCCTGCGGTAAATACCCGCCCTCGGCCCCGCCCCCCGGGGGGCGGGTAACCCCCGCCCCTCCCCCACTTGGTCAACTACCCTCTTCTCCGTGCCGCCCCCCTGGGGCAGCTTCTAGGAAGGCCGCGACACCGCCTCGGTCCCGGGGGGCGGATGGGCGAAACTCCCAGCCTGTTGAAAGCACAGCCCTTAGCCGGGTAAACGTGGTGGAAGGGTCGGGGACCCCGAGTCCTGGCGTCCCAGGCCCGAGGGGCAGCTCTAGTGCGGCCCGGGGGCTGGAGGCTGCGGGATGTCGCGACCTAAAATGGTGTCCGTGCCCGGGGATGGGGGCGGGGGAGCTGGGCCGGGCCTGAGCGAAGCCTGCATCCCCGGGGCGCGGGTCAGTGTCCGGCCCTGCAGGACTCCGGCTCGCGCCCGGGCCCACCGCACGCCTCCCACCCTCCTTGTACCCTGGGGAACCTCCGGGGTCCGCGCGGGAATTGGCGTTTTGTGCATGGCGGGTAGGGGCCGAGGTCCGAGCTGGACACACCGGGCTGCAGCTGGGAGTCGAGCGGGGCCCGCCCCTCCCCCCGCAGTCCCTCCCCCCCACGAGTGTGCGCTGGGCCTCGAGGTGCTGCGCGGCGGCTCCCGGAGGGCCTGGCCGAGGCCTGTCCTTCACTTCTCGACCAGTGCGAGCAAAGCAACCAGCGTTCGCCTCAGTTTCCCCTTCGGCTTCTCTTGTGTACATCCCATCCCCTCCCCGCAACCCCAGACTTGCTTCCGCGCCATTCCTCGGCAGATGGCAGGGACTTAATTCCGCCCGCTGCCCAGCTTGGCCGCAATCTAATCGCCCCCAGCCGAGAGCCGGCCCCTCCACTGTGCAGAAGGCCCTGGGCCCGGGCAGAAGGCAGTGAAGCCCCCATCCGACCCAGGTCTCTTCACTCTCTTCTTGAGCCCCTGCCTTCAGCTTTTGGGGAAGAGCAGAGGGAAAAAGAGGTGGTGGGGGGGAGCGGCGGAGAGGGGAGCCCTAGAGACCTGAGCACCGCAGCTGAGGAAAGGCCTGGCCTTTGCAGTGAGGGCACCTCCTCGGCCTTGAGCTTGCTGTTGGCTGGGCTGTCTACTCCAGGTGGCTATCGAGTGACCTCTAAGTCACTTGCACGCTGGAGGGGGAGCTGGTTACGGAGGAAGTTTGCAGGTGTTTTTTTCTAGGCCCCACTGGGCCCTACTCCACCAGACCACTTTGCTGGGATCCTCTTCTGGGTGGGAGGGAGCTAGGCCCAAAAGGGCCTTATGGTTTGGACAGGGCAAAGGCAAGGACATTGTTTGAACTTAGAGTCTGCAGAATTAAGTAGAGGGTAGGGTGTGGGAAAGACTCCCCTTTTTTTTCCTCTAGTTGGTACTCCCCCTACACCTTGGTCCATGCAGTGCCAGCTGCCACCTGCTGGGACTGTCTCCAGTTACAGTCTCAAGGCTGGAAAGAGGTGAGAGAATTGGCCCTGGGAAATGCTTGCATCTTGGGCAGGGAATTTGTATGAGTAGAGGCTGCTTGAGTTGCTTCTTCTGAGGTGCAGAAACGCTTATAGGGAGTGTCTGGTGGGGGACAGACCTGGGACTTTCACAGACTCTGAGCTGGCTTCCTGAGTTGCTTTATTGCCTTATAAATCTCCTGGGGCTTTCACACTGGAGGGGATTCGGGTTGAGTGAGAGTCCTGGGAGCTGTAGACCAGGGTGAGGAACCCAAAGAAGAAGTGACAGGGACAAGGGGGCGGGTGGAGAGCCAGCTTTCCCCATGTGGCAGCTGTGTCCTAGAGTTGTAGCCCTTAGAGAGAGCAGTGGGGAGGAGGGATGTAGTGCTCTAGGGAAGGCAGGTGAGCCAGCAGCAGGTGTTTGTGACGGGGAGGCCTAGGCTGGGCCCTTGTGGCCGGGTTGCCGTCAGTGCTTTCCCCTGTGTCTCTCTTCTCTTTGTCTCTTTCTGTTCTTGTGTGTTATTCTTCCCCTGTTGATCTCCAGGGTGGTCTTTCCTGAGTCCATTTTTTCCTGCCAGCTAGGCTAGATCTCTGAGTGGCAATGGTGGCCCCAAGTGCCCCAGATTGACCTGACAAGGCCTTGCTTTGTGTCTGACCCCAGCCTAGTCTCCCTACTTCTCGATCTCGTGTTCCTTGTTTTGTCCAGCTGTGATAGTAAATTGTATTTTGGATCTGACTCTCATGTTTACAATTTCACTTCATGTTCTGAATAACTGTGATACATGAATTACCTTTTCTTTTTCAAATGGCAACAGGCAGAAATACTTGTATATACAGCAGGCCTACCACAAAGATAACCAGACACACTTTAAATCTTGACTTAAGGGGTTGGGGAGATAGCTTAGTAGAATAAGCACTTGCCTGGCAAGCACAGGGTCCTGAGTTCAATCCCTGGTGTCTCAAACAAACAAAAAATAATAACTAAATCTTGGCTTAAGACATCGTCCCTTTGTACAGATGGCCTGTCAGATCTCTGTGAACCCCAGAAGATCCATGAACTTTAATTTTATTCCAGGCATGAATAAGCCCTTGATGTACAATATTGTTTTCATCTTTTTTCTTTATATTAGTATTGGTTAATTGGTTCTGTGCTGGCCATAGAAATGGATGAACTGATTTCAACTAAGATGCTCACTGAGCCCCCAGTGCCCTGTTACTCTTCCCTGTGTCTGCGCCATCTCCCTGTGTTTACTCTGGATTTCAGTGTTTGTGCTGCTGTGGACATACTCGCCTTCTGCTGTTAGGGTTGAGAGCACCAGCACCTGCAGTGGGTCTTGAGGACTCAGTGTGGTGGACATGTACCTAGATGGAGAGGATAAATCCAGAGCTTCTGAAGGAGGAGGTCAGGGTCTTTTGTCCAGGCATGTCAGTTTCTCATTTTGCTTCCTATTTTCATCAGGTCTGGGACCTGCCACTATGGGGGACATGAAGACCCCTGATTTTGATGACCTCCTTGCTGCCTTTGACATCCCTGATATTGATGCAAATGAAGCCATCCACTCTGAGCCAGAAGATAGTGAGGAGCCAGGAGGCCCAGGGAAGCCAGAACCCAGAGTGGAAGGAGAATCTGAAGGCGTGGCAGCGGCAGCTGCTGGGGATGACCCTCAGGTTCCAGCCCAGGCCTCTGACCATGGCCTGCCACCACCAGATATTCCCACAGTCAGCGTCATTGTCAAGAACACTGTGTGTCCTGAGCAACCTGAGACCCTAGCTGAGGGAACAGGAGGGGAATCAGCCCGGGCTGTGGGGGTACCTAAGGAAGGAACTTTAGGGGCTTCTCTGATGCAGAATGGATTTGGGGTTTCTGAGCCATCCCTTCCAGGAACTCCCCACTCCCCAGGTCCTCCCAGTGTGGGTACCTGGAAGGAAAAAGCTATGGAAGGCAACCCCACCTTGGACCTTTTTGCTCATTTTGAGCCTGAGCCAGGGGAGCATCCAGATCCCCTTCCTCCTCCTGCACCCTCCCCACCTCATGAGGGGGCAGTCACCCCGCCTTCTTTCCCCTCACCTTTTGAACTGGCCCCGGAGAATGGTCCAGTGCTGCTGCCACCTAGCTCCTCCCCACCCCCTGGGGCCTTGAAGCAAGAAAGCTGTAGCCCCCTTCATCCTGAGGAACAAGGCCAGCAAGGGCCATGCTCTAGTCCTGAGGTCACAGCTACTCAGGTTGATGGAATGTCATTTTTCAAGCAGTCTCCAGGGCACCAGAGCCCTCCTGCCTCTCCTCATTTGCCCAGCTGTAGGCCCCTGAAGGAAGAGGAAGATGAGGGCCCAGTGGTCAAGTCTCCTCCTAGAAGTCCCCAGAGTCCTTCTAGCGGAGCTGAGGCTGCAGATGAGGACAGCAATGACTCGCTTGCCTCCTCCACCTCCTCTCGGCCCCTCAAGGTGCGGATCAAGACCATTAAAACATCCTGCGGGAATATCACGAGGACTGTAACCCGGGTCCCCTCAGACCCTGATCCCCCTGCCCCCTTGACTGAGGGGGCCTTTCTGGCAGAGGCAAGCCTCCTAAAGCTGTCCCCTGCAGCCCCTGCCCCTGAAGGCCCAAAGGTGGTAAGTGTGCAGCTGGGCGATGGCACGAGGCTGAAGGGTACAGTGTTACCTGTGGCCACCATCCAGAACGCCAGCACTGCCATGCTGATGGCAGCAAGTGTAGCCCGCAAAGCTGTGGTTCTGCCTGGGGGATCTGCCACCAGTCCTAAGGTGATGGCTAAAAACGTGCTAGGCCTGGTGCCCCAAACCTTGCCCAAAGCTGAGGGGCGTGGAGGGCTGGGGACGGGAGGTCAGAAGGTGAACGGTGCCTCAGTGGTGATGGTGCAGCCTTCAAAGCCAGCTGCCGGCCTGGGCACAGCGAGTGGAACAGTGATCTCACGGACCCAGTCCAGCCTGGTGGAGGCCTTTAACAAGATCCTCAACAGCAAGAACCTGCTACCTGCCTACAGACCCAACCTGAGTCCGCCTGCTGAGGCTGGGCTGGCCCTCCCACCCACAGGCTACCGCTGCCTGGAGTGTGGGGATGCCTTCTCGCTGGAGAAGAGCCTGGCTAGGCACTATGACCGCCGGAGCATGCGCATAGAGGTCACCTGCAATCACTGTGCCCGTCGTCTGGTCTTCTTCAACAAGTGCAGCTTGCTCTTGCACGCACGTGAGCACAAGGACAAGGGGCTTGTCATGCAGTGCTCGCATTTGGTTATGAGGCCTGTAGCCCTTGAACAGATGGTGGGGCAGCCGGACATCACGCCTTTGCTGCCTGTGGCTGTGCCGCCTGCTGCTGGACCTCTGGTCTTGCCTGTTTTGGGCAAGGCTGAAGGGGCCATCACCTCTGCCATTACTGCAATTGCCACTGAAGCCCCTGTGCTGCCACTGTCAACAGATCCACCTACTGTCCCTGCCACCTCTGCATACACGTGCTTCCGCTGCCTGGAGTGCAAGCAGCAGTGCCGGGACAAGGCAGGCATGGCAGCCCACTTCCAGCAGCCTGGGCCCCCAGCCCCTGGGGCCAACAGCAATGTGAGTTGCAGTCCATGGTCCTCTGGGGAGGGGACCCCAGATGCTGTGGGGATGGGGTCTAGGAAGGTGTTGGGTGCTCAGCTAGGGGGAGAGAGGCAGGTACCTGCCACTGACTCCTCTTGCTTGCGCCCTTGATAGGTGTGTCCGTCCTGCCCCATGATGCTCCCCAATCGCTGCAGCTTCAGTGCCCACCAGCGCACGCATAAGAACCGAGCCCCCCATGTATGCCCTGAGTGTGGGGGCAACTTCCTGCAAGCCAATTTCCAGACCCACCTGCGAGAAGCCTGTCTGCATTTCTCTCGTCGTGTAGGATACAGGTGCCTCTCCTTCCTGCCTGGTAGAGCTCGAGGGTCTTGTTTCTGGGTGCCAGCATTTTTAAATGGCTTCTTGAGAAGAGCCTCATTTTCTCTGTCCTCAGTCTTGTGGCATTGGCAGAGCTCAGCCTTGGGCTGCCATACTGTCTGCTAGCAGTTCCTCATGGGGATGTGGAGAGGGCTAGCTGGAGCTCTAGCTCTGCCCCTGCAACCTGCCTTGGGGCCTGGACCTACGCAGCTGCCTCCTTTCTCCTGCTCACTTATGTTTCACCAGCTCTTCCCTTATCCAAGTCTGTCTGGGCCTTGAGAATACATGGGGCTGGGGACTGCGGTAAGGGACTGCTCATCCTCACTACAGCACTGCCCATTCGCTCCCTCAGGTGTCCTAGCTGCGCAGTGGTGTTTGGGGGTGTGAACTCCATTAAGTCCCACATTCAGACATCACACTGCGAAGTATTCCACAAGTGCCCCATCTGCCCCATGGCCTTCAAGTCTGCACCCAGCGCTCACGCCCACCTCTTCTCCCAGCATCCGACCTTCCTCACACAGCAAGCCAAGTGAGACTGGGGCAGGGGCACTGGAGGGCAGGACTGGGCAGAGTACTGCTTATCCCTGGCTGGCGCATTGTCCCTGCTCCTTCCACAGGCTGATCTACAAGTGTGCCATGTGTGACACAGTCTTCACTCACAAACCCCTCCTCTCCTCACACTTCGACCAGCACTTGCTGCCCCAGCGTGTCAGTGTCTTTAAGTGCCCATCTTGTCCTCTGCTCTTTGCCCAAAAAAGGACCATGTTGGAACACCTTAAGGTACAGGGACAAAGGCTGGGGGTGTGGTGAAGAGCTGGCTTGACTTGGGGTAGGGTCACGGAGCCCTCAGGAAGTGGAGAGCCCATTCCACAGCCATTTCCCTGTCTTCCTCATAGAACACCCATCAGTCTGGGCGCCTAGAGGAGGAGACACCTGGGAAAGGGCCTGGAGGGGCCCTTCTGACCCCCAAGACTGAGCCAGAGGAGCTGGCTGTGTCTCAGGGAGAGGCAGCCCCTGCAACTGAGGAGTCCTCTTCATCCTCAGAAGAGGAAGAGCTGCCCAGTTCCCCTGAGCGCCGGCGCCCAGCCAAACGACCCCGGCGGGAACTGGGGAGCAAAGGCATCAAGGGTGGGGGTGGTGGGCCTGGGGGCTGGACCTGTGGCCTTTGTCACTCTTGGTTCCCTGAGCGTGATGAGTATGTGGCTCACATGAAGAAGGAGCATGGCAAGGTAAGTGGCCTCTTGAGTGGGGCCAGATAGGCTGGTGTCCGTCCCTGGGGGTGGGGTCTTGGAGGTGCCTCTGAAATATCCCTATCCTTGCTCTCAGTCAGTGAAGAAGTTCCCCTGTCGCCTGTGTGAGCGCTCCTTCTGCTCTGCCCCCAGCCTGCGGCGCCACGTCAGGGTCAATCATGAGGGCATCAAGCGAGTTTACCCATGCAGGTAACCCTTGTTGCCTGTTCCCTGCCTCCCTCCTGCCTGGTGCATCTGCCCTTCCTTGTTCTCTCCCCCCCTCCCACCGTCCCGCCCCCTTCTCTTTAGGGTCTGAAGCGCGGGGCTGCCCTCTGCCCTGGGCAGCCTTAGCGCTGTGCCAGCACTGGTGCCGTACTTGTCCCTTGCAGGTACTGCACAGAGGGAAAGCGCACCTTCAGCAGCCGCCTGATCCTGGAGAAACATGTCCAGGTCCGGCATGGCCTGCCTCTTGGGCCCCAATCCCCTGGCAGAGGGAGCACCCTGGCTCGGGGGCCTGGTGCCAGAGCCCAGGTAGGTGGAGGCCCAGCCTGTGGTGTGCCAGCTGTAGCAGTGGGGGAAGGTGGGTAGATTTTGCGAGGGTGATGGTCAAACTTCATTTTCCAGGGGCCAGGACGGAAACGTCGCCAGTCTTCTGACTCATGCAGTGAGGAGCCTGACAGTACTACACCTCCCGCAAAGCTCCCCAGGGGTGGTCCTGGGTCAGGAGGCCACGGTCCCCTACGCTATCGGAGTGGCTCTGCTGAGCAGAGCCTCATAGGGTTAAGGGTAGATGGTGGTGCCCAGCAGTGCCTCGACTGTGGCTTGTGCTTTGCCTCCCCTGGCTCCTTGAGCCGGCACCGATTCATCAGCCACAAGAAGAGACGGGTTATGGGGCGATCAGGTGCCCTGGGGCTGGCAGCTGGGGAGGAAGAGGTTCCTCCTCTGTCTGGGGCTGATGTAGAAGGTGCTGATTGTCCCATGGCCCCTTCTGGTGGCCCACTGACCTGCAAGGTCTGTGGGAAGAGCTGTGACAGCCCTCTCAACCTCAAGACACACTTCCGCACACATGGCATGGCGTTCATCAGGGCTCGGCAGGGGGGCAGCGGGGACAACTAGGCCTTGGGTCTGGGCCTGACCAGCTTGTCTTCCCTGGGATTCACTGCTGCTGCTGCCTGGTCCCTAGATTGGGGACATTTCACATCACATTGTGTTTAGTCCCTCTTCTTAACCCTGAAGAAAAAGCTTTTGAGGATCATAGTGGTTTGCAATTCCCCTTGGGGCCAATTGGGCCCTCCATTCCCACTCTCTGAACCCAACACTAATCATGCTCCTGCTGCAGACCCCCAGGATACAACTTGGGGGAGGACAGGACCGAAGCCCCCCCCATACCACCTTTAGGCACAGACTTTATTCCCCTGGGTTGGGCCCTGCCCTGCTGCCCCATACTCCCTGGCACTCGAGCCCCTCACCCTGCAGTGCCTTTCACTTGTCTTTTTCCCCCAGAAATCCAGGGGTGGGGGGTTGGTGGGGATGTGTCCTGTCACGGCTTAGGGAGGGGACAGGGGCTCAGGAATCCTTTATTCTTGTAGTAATAATACTAACTGGGAGAAAACCAGACCATTAAAATTGTTTGTGGTTTAATCCCCACTCAGGTCTCTGTGGTTTGGACGATTTGGACTTGGCAGGGGGGCAGGTGTCAGACCTGAGAAGCCCTTCCAGGGGAGGTGGTATTGTTAAATAAGAGGCAGGGAACAACTCTTCTGTGTGGTGCCATTTGTATCCTGGACTTTCTGAAGCATCTCTTCAGTGTGCCCCCCCCCACCCCAAATAACACAGATGGCTAACTAAGGACTTTATTTCAAACAAAAATTAAAAAATTGCGAGCTATTCCCTGGGTGTGAGGAGGGACTGGCTAAATATTCCCCATGGCTAGGCTAACACCCTCTGTATACTGGAGGGGTTATGGTCATTTCCTTCCTTGCCCCAGTAAAGGGGACCTCAGCAAGTGCTCAAGTGATGGGGCAGTCCATTATCAAAAGGACCTGGCTTTGGGCTCTGTCCCAGGGAGGGGGATCAAGTTGGGCAGCAGCATGGCCAAAGCTAACCACAGGATCAAGTCCTAAGTAACAAGAACCTACTCAACCCCCTTCCTGGAACCCAGAACAGACGAGGGAATAGCCCATAGAAAGAGCTTCTCAGAGCCCATCAAGGAGAGGCTCTGAGCCCCCACATTCATCACCTCAGTTCTCTGGAGGGCAGTGAATCTTGGGGTCTGTCAGGTGGTAATACTGACAAAGGGCCAGGGGAGCCCCACGATTCTGAACCTTATGGCTGGCTCTCTGCCCCTCGGCCAGCTCTTGCAGTTACCACATGATCCTTTGCATTTCTTGCCTTCCATTTCCCTTGGGTGGATGGGTGAGTGGGGTTTCCTGGTTTGGGATTTCTCAGAGAAGGGCCCTCCCTGGAGGGCGGCCTGGATCCCCCACACTGTGCCTGGGCTGAGGACATGGGGTCACATGATGCCGTTGGTAAGATACTGGAAGCCATCGTAGAGTTTGGTGGTGATGGACCGCATGCTGCCATCCACCATCTGCTCCACTAGAAGCTGGAGTTGCTCCTCCGTCATGCTCATGTGGAACCTCTCTTTGAGGTTGCGAATGGTGCTGGAGCCATGGAAGCAAGGAAGCTGTGAACCTGGGGGAAGCAGCAGGGGTTGAGGGTTGGGGACTGATAAGGTGTGCGGTAACGTGTGGAACACAAAGCCAAGGGTACCAGGAATCCCATCCTCCCTCAGCTTCTTGATATGGAGACAGTTTTGCTGCTGCACAGAGTAGGTTAGTGGGTGGTCCTGTCACAAGCCTATTTCCATCCCATACTGCTAAGCTTTACCCTCTGCAGGTGAGGGGTGTGGGCAGAGGTGAGAGGGCCCACATTGTCTCCCCCCAAGAGGGGCTAAGGGAAGGCTGGGCACGGGCCCTGAGCTGGGCACACTTATCTGCTTGCAGGACTCTGTCTATGCTACATCTGACACTCACAGATGACTTGGGCCACCGTCATCAAGGTGCCAGAAGGGGAGGCTCCTGTGCAGCAGCGACAACCTGTGGGGTGGGGTGGGGAGACTGGCAGCTTAGAGCAGGTGCTCACCTGGCGCCTGGAGGAGGGGAATGAAGACAAGGGCCTAGGGGAGAAGGGGAATGACTACAGATAGCAAGGCAATGAGGAAGTGGCACTGTGGAAGAAGATAAAGACGAGACAGGAGAGGCTTAGAGCAGATGGGTGGCTACTGGCAAAAGGAAGGTAGCCTGATATGGGGTAATCAGAGTCAAAGAGGGATGGGGAAGAAACATCTGAGGCAGCAAAGCAAACAGTGACAGAGGAAAGAGTCCAAGAAACTAAAGAGTTGGGCAAGGGTAGGGTAAGAGATGGCGTGAAAGGCTAGGAAGGGGGCTTTCACTCTGTGCCAAGGAGAATGTTACTGCCACCCTCACCCTTCTCCAGGCCCCACTCTGCCAAGGTCAGGAGAAACTGTCCTGAAGGACGAACTGGGCACAGGGTCTGTTCTAGGACCTACTGGGAATCCTCCCAATTCCCACACCCTGTCAGTCTGGTTCTGGAGGTGCACCAGCTTTCTGGAAGCCCCAAGCACTAGCACCCCCCGAGTGGGAATGCAGCCCACCTTGCTGCATGATCTCCACGATCTGCACCACCTTGTCCATGTGTTTCCGTGCGGCGATCAGCCCTTGCAGCATCAGCATCTTGTAATAGTTGAACATGTCACCGTCCAGGCCGCCCATCACCTGCGAAGGTGCAAGGGGTGACATGGGAATGGGTCCCCTCCCACAGCCCCTATAGTGCCTCCTCTCATGGGGAAATGGGGCCAAACTCCCTTATTGCCCCACCTCTTTTCAGGCAGGAATCTCCCAGAAGTTCCAGTTCACTGACTGTTCCGGTTCTGCTCCCTCCTAGCTTGGAGGGAGCCCATCACCTCCCTCTCCCACAGCAGAGAATAATAAGCCTGGAGGCCTTGCTCCTTCCAAACTCACATCTACAAACTCTGTGGTCAGCTTAAAGGCTGATGTCTCAAAGCCTAGGTTTCGGGGTGAGCTGGACAGGATGAAACCAAAGTCAATGTGGATGATGTGGCCTTCTGCATCCAAAAGGATGTTTCCGTTGTGTCTGAGGAAGGAGACCAGAGGAGAGAAAGGTGCAGTGGTGAGCTGGATTCTGGCCAGAATCACTGGCCATAGGATACTAGCTGGGTAGGAGTCCCCTGTATACTTCCTGCTGCCCAGAACTCTAGAATCTACAGTTAACAATGAAACAATCAGAAAAAGAAAACTGCTAACAGAAGCTGCAGGGTCTCAAATTGCTATTATTAGCAACAGGTCAGAAGTTTAAGATTATCCCACTTTTTTAAAAGATTATCCCAATTTTCCAGAAATCACTCTTTCAGCATTGAAACAGATGCTAATCTAGTAAGAACCCAGGGGCAAGTAAAGAAGGCCTCCTCTGGCCAGATGTGGCACAGGCAAGCCCTCTGCTAGGTGAGAGGCCTCTGCTCAGAAGCAGTTTATCTGTGTTGCAGTTGTAATTCTTATCAGCCACTGCAGAAAGAAGCCCCATAAGGAAGTAACAATGAGAGGCATGAGGCTGAGTGGACCTTAAATGTGAAATAGTGTGGGGTATCAAGTGTAAAGTTTTATTTTTTTATTTTGAGATACTGGGGATTTCTTGTCAGGCAGGCACCAGCTTATTCTACTGAACTATCTCTCCAGCCCTTCAAGTAGAAAGTTTTAAATCATTTTTATGTAAAAGATCCTGGGAGGCAAGCACTATAGGGCAGATGGGGAGGAAGAAGAGTTAAAGTGAGCTAAGTTTCAGGTCTGTGTCATTCCCACATGAATGGCAGTAGAAAGAACAATTAGCATGCTAAGAATGTGAGGATGGTCTTCTCACTTCAGTAGGGGCTTTATTAGGCTAAGACTGGCTTGGTGTGAGGGCCACCTTCTCAGGGATGGTCTGCCTGGCTCAAAGAAAAGGACAGGGGTGTTGCACCCGAGTCCTCTCCCTCTGGGGAGCACTGAACATTAACAGGACCTGCTCAGCCTCGAGAGCCCGAGATGTCCTTGTGTGTGCTATCACACAGGTGGGCAGACAGGCCTGCGAGGGCGGAGGCAGTTTCCGATTTCCAGTTAGAAAGGTGCTTGGGCCTCATTTTGAAGTGAAGAGATCTCACTGGGAACCATTCACTATTGCCACTTCTTCCCAGTGGCTGATTCCATTTTGATGTAACACTATTCTTTCTTTTTCTCTTGGTTCTGGGGATTGAATACAGGGTTTTCACAGTGTGCCCTTTTTACTTTTTGAGACAGGGTATTAAGATACTAATCTGCCTGAGTTGGGCTCATATCTGTGCCCCTCCGGCTCAGCCTGCCAGGGCCCTGGGAATACAGGCATGTGCCACCATTCCTGGCTAGCTATTCCTTTTCTTCCTTCCTCCCTTTTCTTTCTCTCTCTCTCCTCTCTTTCTCTCCCTCTCTCTCTTCCTCTCCCTCTTCTTTTAAAAAATAAGCTCTGAGCCAGGATGGATGATGGTGGTGGTGGCTAAGCAGGAGGACTGCGTGAGTTTGAGAGCAGCCTGGGCTACATATTAAGACCATGTTTCAAACAATACAAAACAACAAAAAAACCAAGCTCTAGCATGCTTGCATTGGTGAGTGTATATACTCTAGTGTTTTCCCCACCTTGTGCCTGGTTTGCTATTAGTGCCATGGTAGTGACCAGCACTAGTTTGGTTAACATGGCATAGACTTTTATTGTAGATTTCCTCAAAGCTTTATAGGTTCCAACTTATAAAATGAAAGTAGGTGCTAAGGCAAAATTTTGTTGGCAAGGATGACCAATTTGGTCTTTAAACTTTAGGGTCTGCTTGTATCCTAGTACCTACTTTATTTTTTTAATTTATTATTTTAAAAAAATATTTTATTATTTATTTACTCAGTACAGGGTCTTGCCATATAGCTCGGACTTGTAGAGATCCTTCTGTCTCAGCCTCCCCCGCACTAGAATTACAGGCGTGTGCCACCATACCAGGTTTAACGGGGTTGGCACAGCATGCAGTACCAGGGATCGAACCCAGGTCTTTGTGCTTGCCAGACAGGCCCTTAGACTGCTGAGCTATCTCCCTGGACACTTCTTTATTTTTAGTTACTCCTTTAGCACAATTTTGTTAGTTTACATCCATGATACACAGTAATTACATCCATCCTGGGGAACTGGCATATTTACCACAGCTTAATTTTTATTTTTTTTGCGGAACTGGGGATTGAACTCAGAAGTGCTTATTCTGAGCCATCTCCCCGTCCCCATCCACAGTTTAATTTTTACGTGCTCTTCCTCGCCAGTCTCCTGTCTCTCTGACTCTCAGACTCCCTTTCTCTCTCCACAGTCTACTGCCCTGTTTCCTATCATCTCTTCTATTTTGCTTTTTATTTTGGGTTTCTTGTTAAGAGAAACTGTATCTCTGTACCTGATTTATTTAACATTATGGTCCCAGAGTGCATCCATTTTCTGAGAAAGGGCTCATTTAGCCTTTATGATAGAGTACGTGCTTCACTATATACAAATGTACTTTGTCTTTATCCCTTCATCTGTTGGTGGGCAGATAGGCTGCTTCCAAGAATTTGGCCCAGCACCTACTTTATATTTAGTTTCATAAGTTGGAACCTAGAATTGATCAGCTTCTACTGTTTTTATTTCTTCAGTGACTTTTTCTTTGTGGCCACCTTCTTGCCATCGGTGTCAGATGGCTCCTAAGCGTGAGGAGCCCTACATCTAAAATGAGGGGTTGGTATCATTGCTATGAGTGGTCGCAGGCAGACGACCTGTGCCTTGGCGTCACAAACAGCTAAGAGTACAGATGGACGCCACAGCACCTGGCCCCTATCTCTATTATCTTTTAAGTTATTATAAATAATTGATCAACTGCCACCCCTGCCCCCTTTAAAGAATAGATTCTCATCTCCCAAACATAATAGTTTCTTAAAGGAAAGCCCCAAGTCTGGCTAGTACCAGCTTTCCTGCCATATTTACTTAATACTGGGCTGAGCCCTAGGTGCTCTAGGCCTGGGGTTTCAAATCCGTATGCTTCAAGGGACAGTGTAAGCTTGCAGACAAGCACCTTATAATTAGATGCCTTACACGGGCAAAGCTAATGGTAGTTCCTCTGTAGGGCTGGCAGAGTGTCATAAGCACAGGTTCTAAAAGCTACCTGGCCATTATTTTCTTCATGAGGAAATACTCTTCTGACAGAATTTTCATCCTGTGTTGGAATGAGAAGCTGTACGCGGCTGGGGGCTTCAACCTAATCTCCAGCAAGTCCCTCACTCATCTTCCTTTCTGCTTGGCTGCAGTCACTACCTTCAAGCTAGGCTCCATTACCTTTCTCCGGTTGCTAGAGGCCCAGTTACATTCACCCTCATGCCCAGTACCACAAGGCTCTGACTGAATGCAGACCACACCACCCATTCCTTGCCCTGCAAATAAAACTCTTCAGCCTCATAGCATTCTTCCCCCCATGAAACCCAGGGGCCAGGACATTCTTGGTGAGTGCTCTACCCCAGAACTAAGGCCCCTCTAATTTAGCTTAATTTACGCATCTGATGTCATTGCATGTATGTTATTCCTCTGCCATGTAGTACAGTGCAAACTTTAGTCCCACTAAAATATTTTCTCACAGGGAACATATTTCTTCCATGGCTTTATCTGTTCTCATTCTTCCTTGTATTCTCTGTCCCTGTTCACTCAAACCCTTACTCTTCCCAGAAATCCTTCATTTCTTTGTTCTTTTACCTTAGTGCTTGTCAGTTTGCCTCCCTGTCATTTAAATGTATCTGTCTCTCTAAAAATATGTAGCTTGTTCCATCAACAGAGCACTGCACATAAAGGACGGAGGGGCCCCTGTGAAAGTGAGGGGTAGGTCACTCACCTGTCCTTGACTTGCAGCAGGTAGCAGACCAAGCAGTAACCAGCACAACTCTGCACAAAATTGCGCTGGGCACTGAGGAACGCCTCCGTGGTGTAGCTGCCATGTTCCTGGAGGAAGTAATCGAGCAAGGACAGCTGAGACTGTTTTTTCACTTGATGGATGGATACAGCATTGACCACTGGTTCAATCATACCACTGTCAGCCGAGATCACAAGAATCTTGTATGGCTTGATCCAAAGGGGTACTCGCTCTTGTTCCCAAATAGACTGTGAGGAGACATGGAGGTATTGGTGCTGTCATCTTTCTCCAAAGGAGGGAAGAAGAGTAAATTTCCCTTTTCTCCAACCTCTCTCCTTGGCAGCCTTAGATTCTAGGCCTTAGAGTGCATTAAGACCCACTGACCCACTGAGAGCCAGGAAGCACTGAAAGGAATTCCAGGGCCTACAAAGACAGGAAACTACTCTTAGAGGTATGTGAGGATAGCTACCATGTAGGTAGAACGTACAAGAAAGGCAGAGAGGAAAACTCACTGTCACCTGACAAGCAGGGAGAGTGCCAGATAGTGATGTAAGTTCAAATAATAAGGAAAAAAAGATGGAAGGATTTAGGCCCAGAGAAAGCTTCTCTAGAAAATGAACATATTAATATAAAGAACTGGATTGAATAGGTGAAGCTGCTTGCTGGTAAGCAACCTAGGGGCCTTGGGGATCAAAATCTTAGCACACTGTAACCCACCAACTGCAGACCATTTGGGCAGTTGTTTTATTTTATTTTATTTTTTTTCTTGAGACAGGGTCTTGCTATGTAGCCCAGGCTGGCCTCAAACTTGTAGCAATTCTCCTGCCTCAGCCTCCTAAGTGCTGGATTACAGGTATGTGCCATGACCCCCAGCCTGGGAAGTTGTGATTTAAAGGAGAAACAAACCCACCATCCAGACAAGCTGGGGTCAGAACTGGTAATGTGCAGTTCACAAAAGAGCCAACAGAGGCCACTGTGGAGCTGTTTCTGGGACTCCAGTTCCTAGGGAAAGTAGTAGCCTTCCCTTCCTCCCTCCTGATTGAACTGAGAGGCTCTGAAATGAGCTACCTACCCAGGCCTTTATATTTTTTGAGACAGGGTCTCACTACTTCTGGGCTTGAACTTGCAACCCTCCTGCCTCAGCCTCCCTGGCTGCTGAGACTATAGACATGTACCTGGCTCTCCTTCTTTTTCTCTTTCATTACCTGCAGTTGCTTCAACACTTGGAAGGCCAGTAGCTCCTGCCGAAGGTCATCACCACACTTGACGATGACTGACAGGAGCCTCCAGTTGGGGAGATGGCCATACGGGGAGGCTTCTCTGATCCGTCTATTAAGAAAGAATTAAAGGCTGTCATATGGTGTTGATGTCTGGGTGAGAATGTGGATTACCAGAAGTCTGATGGAGTTGCTGGAGGTAGATGGGCAATAAACACAGTGCAGTACGTGGGTTTACAAGAAAGGCAAGGTATATAACACAGTGGCACAGCCCCTGCCTGGCAAGCGTGTGGTTCTGAGCTCAAACCCCAAAACAAAACCTGCAAGAGACCCAAACAAATATACAAGAAGAAGGAACTTTTAAGTATTTGTTTGGCAGAACTAAGCCTGCTTCACAGAAACATTGACATTTTTAAAATTAACTTGGTACTGATGTTTCTTAGTACAAGTCTACCTTACAGAGCAGATCTGCTTTGCTCTGATTGGCTTGTTTTATGTCTATTTATAAGCTTTCCTTTTTTTTTTTTTTTTAAATGTATTTGGTACAGGGTCTCACTACGCAGATTGGACTCATAGTGATCCTCCTATTTTCAGCCTCCCCAGCGCTGAGACTATAGGCATACTCTACCATG